CCCCGGATCAAGGATCACATCCGATGGGCGATACGAGGCGTACTCGAGAAAAACACGTGCACACGCGTGCGGCGCAGACACGTTGATGCGTTCCAGCTGGAGGTCGGAATCGCCATGATAGGTTCCTGCACTCTCAATGGCGCATACTCGGACTCTTCACATCCCAAACCTCGCTAAACCTCCACACTTATGTGACTTCTCCGATCAGGTGGTGTCAGAGAAGGCTCGCGCATGCCCCCACCCCGAAGGATCTTCGGCGACTTCGGCTTTGCAGCACGCTCCGCAGAGGCTCTAAACTCATGAGAGCTCTTGCAAGTGTTGCTGTTCCGCGCCTGTGGGATCGATTCCGTGCTCGTCGGCGATCACCTGCAGGCACACCCAAGCCGGAAATGAGTGGAATTGCTGGGCTGGAAGAGGCGGCGCAGCTTCTGCTAGTTGTGGGACCAAGATGCAGTCAATGCAGAAAACCGAATGAAACTAGTGCCTTGCAATATCCTGCCACCTTCATGCCCCAACCGTGCTGTCGGGTTGAAGGGGCGTGATTGCTTAGCCGATACGCCCCTCAAACCGACAGAACATGTCTCGCTGCAGGGGGTGTGAGGACTCGTACGTGCCCGGCACTTTCCCGACACTTGCGAAGATTCACATAGATTCACTCGATTCCGATGCAAGACCTGGGAACACGATAAGCTTACCGGAGCTGTTGGGTGGGTCGCCCTACAACACTGCGGTCTCAGCGTGCGCCTCCCAGAACTTGGCACCGATCTGGTTGCCGCCTGCAAGTGTGCAAAGTCTTGCCTCCGAACAAACCGGAAGATACGACCTGCGTGGGTCCTGGACTGTCAACCCCCAAGGGAGCACCAAAGCAACAAGCTGCCGCAACCCTGCACGTGCTAACCACTTCTTGAGCCAACATCTGGAGTCTCAAAAGGCGTCGGCAGCACCACTAGTCAAGAAACCTTACGATTCTTGAACTACTCTAGCACAGCCCATCCGAGCCCTCGGAGAAAGAGCTTTCGAGTTGCGCCGAGACGCACTGGCCGCCCTGGACGTGCACAAGCTCGCGCATGGCTCTTCTAAAGGAAGCGAAAAGGGACAGCAAAGAGGTCGCTTGAGAATGCTCGGAGGCACTGCGCAAAAAGCACAAACGATTCCCCCATGTTCCTCCGATTGTCGGTATGCCATGTGTGCGGCAACTCGTCTCGGCGATTCGGCAGGCTTGCCAAGGTTGACGAGGCCAGCCGCACATGTCTCAGATCATGGCGGCTAGACACCTTTGACACGTGCCATGTGCTTGAACTTGCTATTCAGAACGATGCAAAGTCCTTTATCACCCTGGCCCCGCAAACTGCGAAACTTGCTGCGACTTCATGCTCGACATGCCTTCAGGATATTCCTGAAAGTTTGTCGGTCATGAATTCCCCGGCAGCGTCCTCTGGTGGCACCGGACGCGGTCAAGGCGGTCTGAACAGTCTGTTGGAACGAGCATAGTTGTCTATCCATCATACTCGCCCTCCTCCTCGTCAAACTCACCTGCAAGCCAGGGACACTTCGCCTCCGTTGTCTCGCGAACGATACAGACAAATCACACCGATGAGTCTGTGAGCATGGCACTCACCAGAGACAGAAATCCAGCAGCAGCCTATCATCGCCTACAGACCCAAGCTTCAGGGACCTCAAGCCTTAAGCTTCTTCGATCTCTTGAACCTCAAAGACGACGCCAAAGGCCCGAGCCCTACGCAGCGATGAAGCGCTGCATGCTCGGAGTCCAGGTTTATGACTTTCAACTCACTCTCCCGCCTTCCTCCTCGGCAGTGGCATCCTGACAAGGCAAAATGGAAAACACGGATGGGCTCGGGTACTTACTAAGTCGGCGGGTACTTGCGTGTCGGCTTTTGCTCTTGGTACGAAAATCACCTGCGGAGGGCGCGGACCAAGTGATATCAACATGACCCAGCACCGCCCCCTCGGCACATACCAAGCAGCTTCGAAATCAGATGAAATCAGACATCTTCTGGTGTGCCGGGCCCAGGACTCAGGATCTCAACGCCGGTCGGGTGCTTTGGTCGGGTATGAATAGCCGCGCCTGATACTGCTGATACTCGGACACCAAGTCGTTCATGTTCGACTCCGCCTCAGTGAACTCCATCTCGTCCATGCCTGCCAGGGGCTATGGGGCTCATGATTTGGGGTTCCCACGTGGGATCAATGGGGAATACCCCGAATGCTGTTGTCTCGTTTGGAAGCGCTAGCCATCGCTCGGCTTCGAGAGGTCAATAATTAGGCCATGCACCGAACACGGGAAAGAAGTTTTCCTTTCCCAGAGCACGTTGACTTGCACTCTTGCCTCGCACAACCTGCAATACAAGTAGCTCGCCTTTAGTTCGTCGGTGTCAGAACTTGAGATATACCGTGCTTCAGTCACGCATATCGGAGTGAGCCTTCGCCAGTGTACCAGTGCAAGAAGGCCTTGCGCCGGAACATGGCCGTGAAGTACTCCGCCATCCTGACGAAAAAGTCTGGAGTCTGGAAGTCAAACAAGGGAAGGCAATTGAGTCTGTAAAGGCACACAAGAACAGGCTGGTGTGGAAGCCTGCATCCACCGGTTTTCACTTTGTTGCACCCCAGCTTCTTTAAGATCCAAGGCACCTCTTGAACATCTCCTGGATGGCGGTCGAGTTTCCTGCGAAGGCGACGGCCATCTTGAGACCTGCAGCTGCGGGTAGCGTGTTTGCATGTGGAAGCGCAGCTTTACAGAAGACACGGGTGATCGTCTTCGGGCGCATGTTGTCAAGAAAAAACTGGCTGACCGCGCCGTCCAATCAAAACAGACATGCACGTCTACATCTCCTTGTAGCAGACACACTTGCTCAGTCGCATCTTCCCGAGAGGGTAAGTGTGTGTGGCCGTTTCCAGTGCCCCCCAACTCGCTGTCAAGCGTCCTTTGGGAGGGATATCGCAAACCGACGCCTTGATGTTGTTCGGGATCCACTCCTCGGCAGCCATGTGTGCACATGCCCCGACAATGCTTGTACTGAATTTGGGCCTAGAGACATTCTCATTACTGACAAATGCGTGCCTCCACCGATTGGCACCGGACGTAGTCGCTGTTCAACAGGAATCGGAGACTCCGACTGGCCCGAAGAACGAGAGGGTCTCGAGTCCTAGTACCCAGTACATCCCGGGAGAAAACAGTGGTATAGGCAAGACTCCACGAAGTAGGAGGAGTTCTTGTTTTGGACATTGAGCATTTGCTCATCCACCTGCCGGATGAGAGATGTGAACAGTGGATGCAAGCAAGAGTAAGCTTCGCCTCAAGTACGTCCTGATCCTGCACAGCTGCATAACCGTCTGTCAACATGTGTAAACCAACTGAGCAAATCCACATTGTTTCACTCACCGCTGAATGAATACATGCATCCTGCCCTCGTGCATCACGCAGAGGCTCGACACCAAGCCCCGCGTCTTTCCCAAACTTAACCCCAACCAATCCAGGGAATCCACACTTGCAGCACACATCTCTGTCGGGCGTTTGCATGCCTCCTTCGTGGACATGCGGCCGCGGAAGAGCGCTGCCGCGGTGAGGTAGCGGCCGTGGCGGGGGTCCGCAGCGCACATCCTGTGGCATCTGATGGCTGGTGAGCTGAGCTCAGCAGAGTGGTCTACCGGATTCGCCAAAAGCATCTTTCACGCGGCGATCTACCGCTGGCCGAGGGGCATGTTTTTGGCGTCGAACATCTGCTGGGTCAGCTCAGGGACCTCAGGTTGTTCAGTCAACGGCGGCATCGAAGGCCGAATCTGCAAGCTGGGTCAGGGACGGTCAGGGCACGGTACTGCTGCGACCCGCGGGAGGTCAGCGGGGCGAAGCCCGTCATGAAGAAGTGCAAGCCTGGCGATTGTCTCTCAGAAGTCTTTGGCCGGGTTGTCTTCGGAGCTGAACTACACAGAGCCCAAACCGACATCGTCAGCACATCTGCAATCCAGGACACGCGGGAAAGGCACCAGGTTGACGGCGATCTTGCGCAGGTCACAGTTCAGCCTTACAGCCCCGCAACGCGGAGGAACGCGGGAGGATTTAGCAAACAAGGCTACCGTTGCAAAGCCCAGCCGCTGTCCCGGGAAGCGCAAGCAGCAGGTCACGCCGCTCATGGCCGCAGAGACCAAGTGGTTCAGGTCACCGTAGGTTGGCGTCGTCAGCTTCCTCGGCAGCCAGTTCGGAGATGTTCCTTCGGGCCACCCGGCCGACTATGCCCACTACTGTTCCGTCCCCTGCAGGTCTTCAACTTTCTTCACACCTATCCCGAGACAGGCGGTATGACATGCGCACAGCTGGCAAATCCAAACAAGGAAGCCGATGTCGATTGTGGGGTCTGTTTCGCTCCGACAAAGCAAGGCTCACCAATTGACGGTGCGTGAAAACCCGCCACCCATTTGCTTGACCCTTAACATGGTTATCGTTTGTTTTTACTCTTGTCGTTTTACAGGACTTTGGGACTGTATGATCTGAGCTAAGGTTGCGAACATTCGTTATCGTTCTTTTTTACTCTTATCGTTTCACAAGGAATTCGATTGCTTCAAAGTACGGGCGCATCTACTTTAAAACATGCTCTCGGGTTTTATCATCCCTCAGCTGTCCAATCGGGACGACGCGGAGAAGCAGCCACTGTAGTTCTCGCACACGTCATGTCGCCACACGACAATCGCCCCACAAGTCCTACTTCCCGCGTGCACCCCGACAGCAAGCGGAAGTTTAGTTCGTTCCGGTTCCTCGGTTTTCCCCGCTAACTTCATGCCACGGCACAGGGTTCGGAAGCAAATGTCGTAGAGCGCTTCATTATCCTTGGCTAGAACTTGCATGGGCCAAAGGTCGATGGAATTAGCATGAAAGTTTATGAGGTCTCACTGTCCGAGAAAGATTTTGGAGCGTCTTGCGTCTATCGGTGCTGCGCGGCCTCTTGCCACAAGAGACGCAGTGGCTAGTCGACTAGTTGGGTACATTGCCAAGCGGCCAGCAGGAAGGACTCGTCGGAGTTCTCCACCAGCTGGTGAAAGCTGAGGACTGCATTGTACGGCTCCACCACGGTGTCGGAGACCTTGGGCGACGGGATCACCGAGAAGGTCTCCATGATGCGGTCCGGGTACCTTGGATTTCAAATCTCTTGTGCCACTGCAATGAACCCAACCTTTGCAACGTTCAACGTTCAACACGCTGGAAAGTTGGAATCGTTCGACCTAACAGCTCAGCCACCATGTCCTTGCATGGTTGACCTCACCAGTATCCAGAACGACCCTCTGACCGTAAGCCGTAAGCTGTGATAAGCTGTGCAATCCAGGGTGCTCCTCTCGCACCTGCAAGCGGAGGCCAAACACGGGTCTCTCGGGACAAATCCGAAGACGGCTGGCCTACAACTCTCTGTCGATGCCTATTGCACAGCTCCCTCGGCTTCCGCCTTGGAGATGAGCAGAGTGCCCATGCCGGCACCGGTGCCGCCACCGAGCGAGTGGCAGAGCTGGAAGCCCTGGAGGCAGTCGCAGCCTGCGTGGCGCGACCAGTGCCTTTACGAATCCTCGAGTGTTCATGACAATCGAAATTTAGGGTCCATGGTTTAGCTGGAGCCCGCGATAGCACAAAGAGCAAAAGTGAACCTAGCTCAACCAAAATGAAACTGTCCCATGACACCAAGACCGCTCGCGTCAGAAACTTCTGGATCGATGCCGCCGAAGAAACTACAGTACCACACAGAGCGGCTGTCAACAGCAAGTGCTCAGCAATCCATGCAGATCTCAGGATATCCGCGCGGCATTGCCTTCAGCCTCCTTGCGCACGACGTCGAGCACCGAGTCGATGAGTTCCGCACCCTCAGATCTTCTGAACGGTTCCGGCGGGGGGGGGGGGGGAAGAACTGACCGCACGCCAAGCAAACATCCGTTGTGCTCTCGTGCCCGTGAGGCTGCCGAGTCAGAATGGTCTACAAATATCGCAGTGAACTGAGCGGTCGGCCTCAGTGTAGTGACCTCAGAGAATCTAAACAACAGTGCGTGCATGGCATGTGCGCATTCCCTAACACACGTGGCTCCGAGACGATACAGGGTCGCCATTGCTAGCGGCACTCGCGAGACCGAGCACTGAGCGCCATACCCTTGGCCCAGTTGTTGCCGGCTCCTCCAAAACAGGCGACTGCCGTCAAATCATCAACCACATGTTGGCAGAGGGCTCTGTCCTGTCTGTCCAAAGACGAAGTTGTCGGGACGGAAGAGCTGACCAAAAGGCCCGGCTCGGACGGAGTCCATCGTTCCTCGCAAGCATGCGGCTGCCGTTGCAAGCTTTCATCTGGACTGCCGACACAATTCTGGCACAAAGGATGAGCAACGCAGCCTGAAGACGGGCGTCCTTGAGCCTTGAACCCTCAACTGCGAAACTACCCTTCACGCACGCACACACAGGCCTGGCTCAAGATCCATCAGGACCGCACGCGGAACGTAGCGTCCCCCTGTCGCCTCGTTGAAGTACACCTGGGCTGTCCCCGGATCAAGGATCACATCCGATGAGCGTTACGAGGGTACGAGAAAAGTTACCTGCACACTCGTGCGGCGCAGACGCGTTGATGCGTTCCAGCTGGAGGTCGGAATCGCCATGATAGGTTCCTGCACTCTCAATGGCGCATACTCGGACTCTTCACATCCCAAACCTCGCTAAACCTCCACACTTATGTGACTTCTCCGATCAGGTGGTGCCGGTGAAGGCTCGCGCATGCCCCCACCCCGAAGGATCTTCGGCGACTTCGGCTTGGCAGCACGCTCCACAGAGGCTCTAAACTCATGAGACCTCTTGCAAGTGTTGCTGTTCCGCGCCTGTGGGATCGATTCCGTGCTCGTCGGCGATCACCTGCAGGAACACGCACAGGCACAAGCCGGACATGAGTAGAATCTCTGCACTTCTGACTGGATGGTAGATGGATCTCCCGAACGCCCCGATCCGTTCGTGGAGATGCTCCAAGTCTGCGGCCGAAGGAGTGTGTACGTTGCCAGGGCCGTGAGACTAACCTGAAGTCCGTAGACTGCAAAGCCCGGCTGTGCACCTCCCAGAACTTGGCACCGATCTGGTTGCCGCCTGCAACATCGACACAGACTTCAGCATCCCTTACATGCCAAGAAGCCCAAACCAGACAGCGGCCCTAAGCACACTTCAACCAAGGATGAGAGGGGACACCACCGAGCCTGTGGACCTGCGTGCCAAGAACCCTGCAATATCAGATCTTCAGGCTTGCGCATGATGCTATTCGTGCAGAGGCACACTGGCCGCCCTGGACGTGCACGAGCTCACGCATGGCTGCGAGAAACGAAACGAAAAGGACAGCAACGAGGTCGTTTGAGACTTATCAGAGACGCTGCGGTCAAGCAGGTACGTTGCTGGGGGCAGGTCTGGTGCGGCGCACGCCGTCGCTCCGTGACACTTCTAGTTCTACCAGGAACCCATGCCTTCTCCAAGAAAACGACCACGACCACACAGGAGGCTGGCAGCAAAGTCCCTTTTCTTGCTCCGCAAACTGCGAAACTTGCTTCGACTTCATGCTCGACGTGCCTTCAGGATTTTCCTGAAAGCGTGCCAGGAATGAATTCCCCCAGCTGCGCCTACTGCAGTAGCTGGTGCAGTCAGGGTCATCATCGATCTGAACAGTCTGGCGGAACGAGCATGGGTCGGCGACGCTTCGCGCCTATCCATCATACTCGCCTTCCTCCTCGTCAAACTCACCTTCCCGGACAGTTCACCACTGGATTGCTATTAACGAAACGAGCCATCTGCACAACGTGTGACAAAGTCCTGGTATCAACGGTCCCATAAGAACAGTACCTTCCACAACAGCCTGGCGAAGCTAGCCCTGCCAAACCCGTTGAGTTTCGGAATGTCGGCTGTTTCAACAGAAACCTAAAACTAGATCTATGTACTTGCTAAGTTCGTTCGTTCATACAGATTCCTGTCTTATTGAAATGCATGCCTTATCTAGATGTATGTTTAATCTGCATCTGTATCTATATCTGTATGTACGAATTCACTTAGTAACTTGTCTGTATGCCTACTTCGGACCTACTTCGCTACTGCTTTCTTACCTATTGACTTATTATTCATGCCATAGGGGTGCCAATCCTCACCCTGAACCCAGCGATCTCGGAACAAGGGCGACTTCAACATGCTCACCCGCCTTCCTCCTCGGCCGTGGCATCCTGACAAAGAAGGCAGAACGGACATCTGGCCGCTTTTACATGAAAAACCAGAAGCACGAGCCGCTTGTGGAACTGTTCCGGCTTGGTCGAGACTCGCCCCTAGAAGAAGCCCGAGACAGCGGAGCTGCGTCTGTTCGTCTCTCTCGACGTGATCAGATGCTCTGACACCGTGGGCAGACTGGCCGTGCCTGGTACTGCTGATACTCGGACACCAGGTCGTTCATGTTCGACTCCGCCTCAGTGAACTCCATCTCGTCCATGCCTGCGGGATGTTTTACACAGCGAGGTTTCGGAGATTACAGTTCAAGGGCCGGGATCTATCTGAGATAACGGGTTCTACCCTGGCTCTTGTTGGCGTCGTGCTCCGCGATTATCACATGGTTCCGGGGAGTGGTAGTGAAGGATCTATCATAGACCGGCTGCAGGATTGCACGGCTGTGGATCCAAGTTGTGACAGATCTCGCAGGGTTCCCGGTGAAGGATTGCGCGAAGGCATCCGGTGACATTAGGAAGTGGAGGATAGCGGTGGCAGACGGTAGTGCAGGTGCAAGTAAATTCGTTGCGTGGCATCGCACACCGAGCTTGCTTCAGGAAGACCCAAACACTGCATTCTTAAATGGACCTCCGCTCTGTCGCACCGGCCCTGCTACGCACTGCATGCATCATGGAAAAGGGCGAACTGCTTCCTCTATTGGTGCCCCCTGCTCTGCTGGCCCTCGTGCCGGGAAGCCTTCGCCGGTGTACCAATGCAAGAAGGCTTTGCGTCGGAACATGGCCGTGAAGTACTCGGCCACCCTGACAGGAAAGTTCGAAACACAGCTGTTCAATTTATGTCCAACAAGGTATAGCGAGGGGCCCTGTGGACTGCCGAAGATATGATCATGCAAGCTTCACACACTTCACTACCCTTCAGTGTTGAAGCCCGC